CAGAGGGAAAAAAAGGATTGTGTAAACCATTGTGTGTGAGCACAATTTCCTGTTTTGGGCGCATAGACAAAGATGTGTGCTTTTTGTACTCCCTTTTATCACAATACATAATTGGTGACTCACAAGGTAAATTTGTCCTGTTCATCAAGTTCAAGTTGAAAAGGAGACTTAACAAGGAATCACTGCTTATTTGCATTTTTACTTTCTTGCTAGTGTTTTTACTCTTCTTTTGAAATGCACCAAAGGGATTTTTTTTTCTTTTTAACAAACTGCCTTTTGCCCATAAAAAGTGTAGCCATGTGTTTAATCTTTTCTTTGTATTTACTATGTCCTTTAAGTGATTTATCCAGCCCCACTGGTATTATATACTTAGATTTTTCAGTAATATTAGTGAAGGGCTAGAAGTATTTGACATTCTCTCAAGTTTTTGACAAGACAGTGTTCTACTATGTGCCACTTTGTTTCGCTTATTCATAAAGGAGTACAACAGGTTTACAGCAAAGGGTAAAGCAATTCATGGCTTTCTAAGTGACTTTGAATTTTACAAATGTTTTTATAAGTACCATCTGCTTTATCAGTATATCTGTGATTAGAAATCTGACATATGACTGATCATATGACTTATCGACCCTCATTCTGGGTCCAAACTCCTTCTTTAAGGCTGTCTGTTTTTTATATGTATAAACAAGCCAGTAAAAATATTCAATGGTGACTGTCAGTCTTTCTGACTATTTGTTAGCATCATTCATGTGCATTGCATTTATAAGCTAAATTTTTAAAACCATATTATGTAACTACAGCCCATGGGCTCACAATATGCCAGACACCAAACATTAAAATGATTCAGAAAAGAATCACTCTGACGTTAACTAAGAATTGAATGGGTACCTGAAGCTGAGGCACCAAATTTTTTCATAGGGAGTAATCCAAACCACGCAGTAACATAATGACTAACTTTGTGTTGTGGATGAATCATCGAACGTGCTCTCTTGACTGAAGTTTGGCTGTTTTCAGCCTCTTTTTCCCTGCCCTGATAGGATTAAATTCAATTTTATTTATATAGCGCCAAATCACAACATAAGTCGCCTCAAGGCGCTTCATAGATACAGAGAAAAACCCAACAATCGTATGACCCCCTATGAGCAAGCACTTTGGCAACAGTGGGAAGGAAAAACTCCCTTTTAACAGGAAGAAACCTCCGGCAGAACCAGGCTCAGGGAGGGGCGGCCATCTGCTGCGACCGGTTGGGGTGAGAGAAGGAAGACAGGATAAAAGACATGCTGTGGAAGAGAGACAGAGGTTAATAACAGATATGATTCAATGCAGAGAGGTCTGTTAAACATAGTGAGTGAGAAAGGTGACTGGAAAGGAAAAACTCAATGCATCATGGGAATCCCCGGCAGCCTACGTCTATTGCAGCATAACTAAGGGAGGATTCAGGGTCACCTGGTCCAGCCCTAACTATATGCTTTAGCAAAAAGGAAAGTTTTAAGCCTAATCTTAAAAGTAGAGATAGTGTCTGTCTCCTGAATCCAAACTGGAAGCTGGTTCCACAGAAGAGGGGCCTGAAAACTGAAGGCTCTCCCTCCCATTCTACTTTTAAATACTCTAGGAACAACAAGTAGGCCTGCAGAGCGAGAGCGAAGTGCTCTAATAGGGTGATATGGTACTACAAGGTCATTAAGATAAGATGGGGCCTGATTATTTAAGACCTTGTATGTGAGGAGCAGGATTTTGAATTCAATTCTGGATTTAACAGGAAGCCAATGAAGGGAAGCCAAAACAGGAGAAATATGCTCTCTCTTTCTAGTCCCTGTCAGGACTCTTGCTGCAGCATTTTGGATTAGCTGAAGGCTTTTCAGTGAGTTTTTTGGACATCCTGATAATAATGAATTACAGTAGTCCAGCCTGGAAGTAATAAATGCATGAACTAGTTTTTCAGCGTCACTCTGAGACAGGATATTTCTAATTTTAGAGATGTTGCGCAAATGGAAGAACGCAGTCTTACATATTTGTTTAATATGTGCATTGAAGGACATGTCCTGGTCAAAAATGACTCCAAGGTTCCTCACAGCGTTACTGGAGGCCAAGGTAATGCCATCCAGAGTAAGAATCTGGTTAGATACCATATTTCTAGGCTTTTCAGGGCCGAGTACAATAACCTCAGTTTTATCTGAATTAAGAAGCAGAAAGTTAGCGGCCATCCAGGTCTTTATGTCTTTAAGACATTCCTGCAGTTTAACTAATTGGTGTGTGTTATCTGGCTTCATGGACAGATAGAGCTGGGTGTCATCTGCATAGCAGTGAAAATGTATGCTATGTCTTCTAATGATCTGCCTAAGGGAAGCATGTATAATGTAAACAGAATTGGTCCTAGCACTGAACCCTGTGGAACTCCATAATTAACCTCAGTGTGTGAAGAGGACTCTCCATTTACATGCACAAACTGGAGTCTATTAGATAGATATGATACAAACCACTGCAGTGCAGTACCTGTAATACCTACAGCATGTTCTAATCGCTCTAATAGGATATTATGGTCGACAGTATCGAATGCTGCACTAAGGTCTAGCAGGACAAGCACAGAGATGAGTCCACTGTCAGAGGCCATAAGAAGATCATTTGTAACCTTCACTAAAGCTGTTTCTGTGCTGTGTGATTGCGTCTTGCCTTTCGACTGACCTCAAATAAACTTTTATTGAGGATAAAAAAAGTTAGCATTCATCTTCTATTTTCATTCTGTTAATAATATTATTCTGTTATAATATTATCCAAACCATAACTGTGTAGCTAACTACTAGGTAGCACACCATTGTGTACCAGCTACCCAACATTAGTAACCCTGCAAACATTTCTGCTGTTTAATTTTCTGACCACACTGATGTTGAAAGTGATAGCGAAGCTGCACATTTTACTTTTTTAGAAATTCCTCAGTCAAAACATGGTATTTCGTCTTTAGATGACACGTAGCGGGCTAACTTCCTGCTGACTTCAACTTTTGCTAGACTTTGTAAAACCTCTTTCTCATGCATGTCTGAATGTTAACCTTTATTGCAAAGCAGCCACGTTAATCATTTTACTGAACATGAAGGAATTTTGACTATTTTTAACTCTCAATGATCCAAGAGTTGTTCGAGTTTGGGAACTGAAGAAAGGTTCGGACCTAGGGCAAAGCATAGGGAACTTTTTTTTATTAGCCATCCAAACACATGTACCCTTATAAACCCTGTAAAAGTCAGTTTTAACTTGTATTTCTGTAGGTCGCTTGTGTTACACGCTCTTTTATGGCTGCCACCATGTTGTTTTTTTGGAGGAGTTACAATATTTGGACAAGACTGCTAAGTTAACAGCTGAGGCTAGCTAGCTTTTTTAGCCTAAAGTCTTAAAATGCCACAGTTTCACTCACCGAAACTGAATCTCACATGTCCCTAATAAATCACACAGCAAGGCATATTATGTTATCTGTCAAATGACTCCATGAAAAACTATCTAAAAAGGCAAAAACACCATTAAAAAATCTAGTTCTGGCAGCCAGCTATCAGATAGAGCTTTGTGCATCACTACACCTGTACACCTCAAAGCAGCCACACTCCCAGCATGATTATGCACTACTTCTACAACAATTTTAAACTTCCTTTGTACACCTTAATTCTTAATATGTAGTGTACGAGATTCACTTTGCTCTGAAGCGAAAAAGCAGTTTCAGTTGGAATTAATCTTCTTTAACTGATGCCAACACAGCAAGAAAGCAAGCAATTTAACTTCACTCTCTTGGAGGGGGTTAGTGCATCAGTATGCTTCACACAAAGTACTTGTCAAACTGCATAACGTTGCCTGAAACCTCCAGTGCAAAATGTTTTTAACTGGCTTGTAGATTTACTTTCTCAAAAGAATAGTGGTGTAAATTACTCAAGCTGCTAAATCTTTTTACACTTTACCACTGTAACACCGTTTACCCATGTGTGAGTGCACATCCAAAGCTGGAGAAAACGAGACGGGAGGAAACTCAGAGCATGTGCACGTAGGCAGTGCTGTTTAACTGCTTTGTGTGTGTGTGCGTCCATGTGCATATGCGTGCATGTGTGTGATTTTATATAACACTTAGTTGCCTATTCAGCAGCAAGAATTATTGGTTCTCAGCCAGACTGCCTTCTTCACACTCTCAGTTCCTTGCAGATCTTATCTTTCTCTTCACGTTGCAGTAAGACAAATAATTTTCACTTTCACTCGCATCTATGTGCCCTAAGCTTGTCATGTGCCGTTTTCCATATGCTTTTGGCTTACAAACAAATGAAGGTGCAATCCCACTTCTTCCACACATTGTCTTTATGTTTTATCCAAAATTGCACATACGCATAGATAACTGGGCTTTCGTTGACTACCAAATCATGTTATCATCATTGTTCCAGTTTTCCTGAGTGTACACTAGGTTTTGGGTTACGTAATCTTTATTTATTTATTTTAGTTCGTTCGGATGCACAGCATCTAGTGATTCAGAGGACGGACATTAAAGTGATTGTCTTTTATGCTGATCATGTAAATCAGCATCAAAATGCTTTATTAATCACAGAGGCTTAGTCAAGTATTAAACGCTAGATTAAAATGGTTGAATTTCATATGCAGTTTCCTGGCCAGAAAAAGTGATAGAAAACTGTAAGAAAATTACAAAAAAAAAAAAAAATTAAATGATTGAATGATAATTCTGTTGCTATCGCCCTAATGTCCTAAAATATCTCACAATCAAACCAATTTCAACAGTTCTTAGAGTGTTAATTTCAAACAAATAGTTTTAGTTTCCTCTTGAGAATTTTGGGTAGTCAACCTTAGGCATCAGTAGCCACGCACAGCTGTATTCCTGTGCTACGTTCCCATCTTTTCAAACGCAACCTCACTGACATCACCGAACAGCACCTCTCCTCTCCACAGATGTGCTCTGGGCTGTCCTTGGAGATTTCCCCATGAAAACAAAGCTCTCCTCCCCTACGACTCTCTCTCTGTTTCCAGCCCCACTCTCTGCCTCCATCCATCTCAGCTGCTCTCTCCCCCCCACCTCACAATTTCACACCAATGAGCATGCCGCATGTAGCTCCCACTCACTGGCATCAGAAACACTAGATATCTTCAGTGCTGAGCAGTACAGTTTCAAACAAATACACAACAGCATTGGCTAGACGGAGGCTGCGTTCAGCCAAAAGGCACGTTGGGGATAGGCAGTGATAAAAAAAGAGGGGGAGAAAGAGTCCAGCTGCTCTCTCACACCGGACTCAAGGTAAAGGATCCATATTAATTTATTGGGTGACAGAGTGTTATGTAATTCTGTTGTAGACACCGAGCTCCAGGCATTATGTAGGTCTTTGTTATTCTTGATGGTTCACAGCACGGATTATTATGTGTAGCTTTGAATGGAGGCTTACTAGTAAATCAGGGAAAACACTGTTGTCTAAGTGATATGACGTCTTTGGGGCTAATATTGGAAACACTAATGAAAGTATCATGGGAGAGTAATTGAAGTTATGAACATCAGTGTCATACAGCTAATTTTAAGGAGTGTTTGTGTACACTGCCAGTCTAAATGTCTTCCTAAGTGTTTTCTTATTTTCACATCCTTTCAATTCCGTTTCCTGTAAGCACTCCTGAAAATCAGTTCACACCCTCCCACTTTCCCTCCCTTGATTCTGGTAGCTCTGAGGGCTTTTCAGTCCAGTAAATGTCACTCAGCACTGCTATCAATAACGGAGAAGGGTTTTGAAGTCTACACATCTGAGGGTGAGGTTGCATCCCGAACCTTCCTAAACTCCTTTTAATCCTTATTACCTTTTTTCAGCCGTTGATTTTATTAACAAAGGGTCAATTCCCCCTAAAATATGGAATGACTTTTTTTTTTTAAATTTCTATCACTTTCCTCTGTGAACCTTTAGCCATTTTTACTTGTACTTGACAAGGAAACCCTATTTTCTGAGAGTCATACTGATAATCTTTTTTAATAGTAGGATCTCTACATTGGAAGGGAGGCTTCACATCCTGTCAGTGATGGTTCTAGACTCTGGATGGGCAAAGTAAAAAAAAAAAAAAAAGAACATTAACCCCCAGTAGAAATGCATTTAGTCATTTCAATCAAAAAATGTGCAAAATGTCACTGAAAAATGTGCAAACACATGCAGTTTGTTGGGAATGGGGCAAACAATTTAACGTTATTTTAACGAGATTAACGCTGACAGCACTAGTAAAGTTTAGATTAGTCAGTTTTAACGATGCTACCGTGAGTGTTTTTTGGGCAGTAGTAATAGTAGTAAAGGTACACTGTGTAAAATCTCACCAAAAGATGTCAGTGTATTGCAAATTGCAGTCAACTGAATTCTGTTAGCTTATTGCTCCTAACTAAAGTGCATTATCCTTGCGGCCGGTATAGGACAATCAACTCTGCCTCCAGTTTTTCTGTAGTGGGTGTAGGCCACTATGTTTGCAATGTATCAGTATGTTTGCAGTGTCAATATGTTGGGTGGGGAAGGAGATTCTGTTACCCTTAGTTAGTGAAACTTTGTTGTTAATGTTCTTGAAGGAACACTTAACTAATAATTTACATACTATGTGAAAATGTAATGAAACTGTTTATCAGAGGGAAAAACTAATTTTTAGCACACTGGCTAAAATTAGCTAACACGTTAGCTTATAACCAGTTGCTGTTGTTGTTCTGTTTTGTTTTGTGTTTTTTGTCCTTGTCAGCTGTTCAGTGACAGGTGGGTCACATGTCTAATCTGCTGACAATACCTAATTTTGACAGTAATAATAAATGAGTACGTTTATGCATGTTTTTATGTGTTAGAGTCCTGAATTCAGTTCAGGATATGAAGTTTCAGATGAGAAGGAAGAGGATAATGCTTTATGTAGATCCTCTGGCTTCACGTTTTTGCTTCTTTGTTTCATCATTTGAGAAGAGGTTCCAATTCATCATAGGTATGAGCCTTCATATCCTGAGTCAGAAAGTGCAGGCATGAATTAAAATTTGCCTTCATGCCACACAAATGCCTATAAGAACTACTTACAGTATGTGTCCAGTCTGTTGTTATTTGGATACAATGTGATTAGACAGAGTTCCAGTGCCCATTACTGTATTGCAGTCACTGTATTCAAGATGGGCGGGGCAACATGTTGGCTTCCACAAATGCCTGCTCTTAGGTATTTTTATTGGATTATTTTCAAGTGTATGAGGATGAAGAAGTTTTTTGGGAAGATGTTATTACACAGTAATCAATGTATTCGTATTTGTACAACACTGTTGTGTCGATAGAGCATATGCCAGAATTGTGTCCCTGTGCACCAGTGATTTAAGGTGAGCATTATGCAATGTACCCAGTTCAATTCCAGTGAGGGAATTCTGTCACGTTTCATTCTCTTTGCTCTCTGTCCTCATGTTCTGTGCCTGTCCCAGCTGCCAGTTGTCACAAAAAAAGAAGAAAAAAAAGGCCTAATCCCTTGGCATTACATTTCCCATAAAAGATTATTTGACTTAACACATTAGTTTTATGTTATTGTATGATTGTCTGACATTGCCTCTACAAATAAAGTACAATCACCATAATGCATTTTGCAGAACATGTTAACAGTTCTGTTGTACTGTAATCTTTTTTTATAAGATTGAAGAAAATCACATATTTTTTAAAATTAGCATTGTCACCACAAGTGCATGGAAGTCAGCGTATTCTTGTTACATTTGTATGAAACACAGTTTTAAATCCTGCTGAAATGAAATGCTTTTAGTAGACACAATATGAGGCCTAGGAGTGAATCAGATTTTCTGCAATTCAAAATAAGTCTCTGTAACAAACTGATTACAAAAATGACTGAAGGCGGGCTGAGAAAAAGAGACACGCTTACAGCCTGCAGTAGTGAGCAGTTAACCGAACAAAGCGTTTTGACACTTAGGCCAATGAACCCAGGTAAAGCAAGACAAAACACAAAACACTAGACTAGCCTACTGTGAGAAAAAAGACACAGTGGTGAAAAAAACAGAAGAAAAAAAAACTCATTCAGTCTAGTCACATCTCATCATTTTCAGATTTAGCCCACAGGAGATGACAAGCTCTAATTTTATCACTAAGCAAAATGTTCTCCACTAGCTAATGCAAGTCATTGCCGTGCCCTTATCATCCTAAACATGCGTGTGCTTTTAATAGTTCTGTGCAGCCAGTGACAAGCAGATTTACTTGAGTGTAATCTGACATAGCTCTGAGATAAATACTTGGCCAACGACTGGGCAGCCTTGTTTGCCCTCCCTTTACACCCGAGGTGAGTGACAGTGGTAAGGGCTCCCAGTGGTCACTTGAGAACTGTGGGAGGTGAAAGCAAAGATGTGTAACACATTATTAAAGCACAGAATGTAAGGATTTCAAGAGGCATACCAGGTTATCACAGTCAGTGTGAATACCTAAAATTTCAAGATCAGCAATGCTTTGACAGAAAACTAATCATCAGCTGTTGCTGGGGTCGACTTTGGTATAAAAAAGCATGAAAGTGTCTGTGTGTCTGTATGTGTGTAATATTGTATATGTAATGCAAAATATTTAATAGCTGTACTTATAAAGCAAAACATTGCCAAAGAAAAGTATCACCAAACTCTGCAGTTGGTTTATTAATGTATCTGATTAAGTTATTTGTTAATCATAAGGTTGATTTACCATGAGCTTAATCAACTTAATGAACCCATAATAAGCACCTAGGTGGACAAAACCATTAGTGCCGCTTTAACTATTACCATTATCCCTGATAGCCAATGTACACCAGTCAAAATGCTTTTGCTACAGTAGCATCAAAATCGGAATGAATTATCCCTCAGAGCAGCAAACTGCTTCAATGAACTGCACTGTTCTAATTCTGGGCTAAGGAAATTATAATGCTCCTCAATATTTTAGTTTGTACTTGTAGAGGTCTTTAGAAGTTGATCATATTGATGCACAAAAGTGGTGACGAGTGTACATGAGTAATTTTGAAATTAGGAGACACCAAAGAGGGTTCCTGTGATGAGTCCCCCAAAATATCAATCTATCATACTATATATCTAATATGTTTGAGCAAGGATGGTAGGACACCCACACCAATAATTGTCTTTTTAATTATTTCAGTGTTTTCATATTACATTACATTCACTTCTTTCTTTGTAACTTTCAAAAATCTTCATCTTTCTTCTTGGAACTTTATTTTTTAAGGGGAATAGAAAAATAAGAATTTGACTGTTCAATGTAAATCACTGTCTTTATTTCCAACGTGCATAATACAATGAATCATCTAAATTTCTAATATTGGTCCAAAAGAACATCTCTGTTTCTCCTCAGTCCAAACTAATTCTTTCTACAAGTCTGTCTTGCAGCTCCTGCAGCCATCTTTGAACCACATTCAGACATCTTTTTTGAAGCCTTTATCTAACTCAGTGATGACAGTCCATAACATTAATTTCAGCTGCCAACATAAAACATTAAAAGTGCATGAAGAGTCCTATAAAATTAAAAAGAAAATAAACAAAGAAATAAAGAATGGCATGCCATTGAAGTGCTTATAACTGAAATCAGCAACCCCACTGTTCTAATGTCTTTGTTGTATAGGTTAAGTAAGAATTGGACTCCAAAAGACATAAGGCTATACAATGATAGTAAAACCTTTTTAGTCAGCCCTTTCCTCACCTGATAATGTAATGAAGACATAGCAGTGAGCAGTACCCACAGGTGTCAAGGTTGGCGATTCAGAAGACAGAGAGATCTTTTCTGGAGAACTGCTTCTCCAGTTAACTGTAAAAGAGCTTATGAGAATCCAGGTTGGTGGTGTTCTGGTCCATCACTCAGCCACATTTGGAAAAATATCAAGGATTTGTGCATTCTCGCCACAAAATTAGGAACTATCAAGTAAAGTTCTAAACAAGCTTGTTCCATTTTGCAAACAAGTTCTGTAAAGGAAGGTATTTAAATATAGTATATTTCAGCAGCAAAAAGCAAAAGCATGTTTGCAAAAGGGGTGCCAAAACTCTCTAAGCCTCTAATTTGCAATACACCACACATCAGATTTGAAAATCTGAAAATAGACCTTTAAAGGTCAGTGCATGCAAGATGGCCCAAAAATTCTCACATAACTAGCATTTTTCAAGAAAAGTGGGTTAACATTCCCCCAGACAAGAAGAACTCTTGGCTGTTACAAAAACTGTTTACAAGCTGTGATACTTGCTGGGGTGAGGGGGACGGTTACTAAGTACAGACCATGCAGTGTGCCCAAACATTTGCTTCA